CTGAAGACAAAAAGATTTTTTTAATACCATTGTCAAACCCGTTGGGTTTTTTTTCCCTTTTTAAGCTTGGAAGCTACCCAAAATTTCATAAAATTAAGCAAAATGACCCGCAATATTTTCGCACAGAGTATTGCAAAGAGCTGTCAAAAAGATTTTGAAGGGAAATTTTTTGCAAATTTACAGACCAACCAGGGACTTTGGGAAAGGGGAATGGGAAGAAAATGATTTTTACTATAAATTTAAGGTGTTGTATCAAAAAATAAATTACAGTACATAAACATGGTAAAAAAATATACGTTTAAATTTAGTGGGCCCAAAACCAATACTTATAAATAAAAAAAACAAGGAGTTTAAAAACCCCAAAAATTTAAAAATAAAAGGACAAAAAAAACAAACTTACAGTTTTTCAAAAGGCCCATCAATTTTAAAATTTTCACACAGGTTCAGGTTTAGTGAAGATTTTGAAGACAGAGTTTTAATGACTTTTAAAACCCCTTCCTTTGGATTACTAAGGTTTAAAAAAATCTTTACCTTCCCGCAAGGCAAACCTTTTCAATGGCACTGCTTGGTCTGCCTTTTAAAAAAAATGGAAAAGTAGATATACAAAAATTTTGGGACTTTTTAACTCTAACATCTTGGGAAAACAGTTTTTTAGGGGTATTTGGGACACATTTTTAAAGGTTTACCAATGAAAAACTTGGCAACTAAGGCAGCCTATCATACAAGGGGCAAAGATTATTACCCCCCCAGAGACATTTTTCCCCCAAATACCCCTTTTTTCAAAAATACTGCTTGGACAGTCTGGGTTATTGAGGGTGATAGAAAAAAATTTTGTTTATACAAGAATTTGGATTACCTAATTGAAAAATGAAGCAAGAGTGAAAACAAAGAGAGCAGAAAAGTTTTCATCTTCAGGCATCAAGAATTATCCTGATGCAGGAAAAAATTTTCCTTTTACTTCATTAAAACTCAAATGGGAAAAAAGGGGCACTGATTAACCGATGAAAAGTAATTGTTTCATGTTTTCATTATTAAATAACTGGAAAGGGCAAGCTGCAATGTTGTAACAAAATTTTGAGTTTTAGGGGCCCAAAGGCATTTTGAAAAAATACGCAAAACTGATGTTAAACCCTGAGAATTTTAGTTGTCGGGAAGGGAATGTAAAAAAATTTAATATGGCAAAATTTTAGTTAGGAATTGTGTACATTTTTGATTTTAAAATTTTAAAAGGCCCTTTTTAATAAAAAAGGGAATAGCTATGAAAAACCCTTAAAAAAAGGGGAAAAGACTCTCAAAATGGGAATATTTAATGTCCAAGTATTTTTGTAAAAAAAAAGAAGAAATTTATGAATTTTTACCAGGGCTTAAAAAAATGTACAGCCATAATGTTTTGGCCCAAACCTAGGAACTGTCCATTTGGGAACAGGTTTGTCTTTAGGTTTTTTTTATAATAAAATAGAAAAGATGACTATTAACCCTAAAATCACTTTTTGGCAAATAACAGTTTCCTTTGATAACTAAAATTGCACCTTTAATCTTGGAAGTAAAAAAAAATCATGTCACCACCACTTTGGAAGGTCATTGTTTTAAAATCACTTATTTTTTTTTACCTTCTTTGCATTTTATAATATTAAATTGTTCACTTTAACTTATTTCTACGCAGCATTTGCACAAATGTTTAAAACCTAAAATATATTTAAAATCACGAAAAGGGAACCCTTTTGGAGCTCTTGCAAAAAAGGAAAGTTACCGCCATCCATTTCATTAATCCAAAGTTGAATCACCCTTTACCCCAACACTTATTGAAAAAAGGTTTTTAAATGAACCAATTTCAAACCAGGTTCCATTATTGAAAATAAGCCCTTTGGGATCCTTTTCCTAACACATATTAAGAAAAGGAATATTTATTGTATAATCTTTTTAAATTATAGAACTTCATGGGTAAAAGTTTGCAATGTGGGGAAGGGATGGGTTTAAAACTAAAAAGGAGGCAGTTAGGGTAAGATATAAACAGCTATTGGAGGTTAGATGGGCTAATGAGAGCATAGGCAATGGGGTCAAAGAGGTATGGGGTAGGTTTAAAAATGTAGTGTTAGAGTGTTCAGCAAAAGTTTGTGGTTACAGGAAAGTGGGTGAGGGAGGGAAGAGGAGCGATTGGTGGAATGATGATGTAAAGAGAGTAGTAAGGGAGGAAAAGTTATTATATGAGAAGTTTTTTACAAAGTAGAAGTGATGCAAGGAGGGAAGAGCATATGGAGAAAAAGAGAGAGGTTAAGAGAGGGGGTGTGAAGCAATGTAAAAAGAGAGCAAATGAGAGAGTGGGTGAGATGTTATCAACAAATTTTGTTGAAAATAAGAAAAAGTTTTGGAGTGAGATCAACAAGTTAAAGAAGCCTAGAGAACAAATGGATTTGTCAGTTAAAAATAGGAGAGGAGAGTTATTAAATGGAGAGTTAGAGGTATTGGGAAGATGGAGGGAATATTTTGAGGAATTGTTAAATGTTGATGAAGATAGGGAAGCTGTGATTTCGTGTATAGGGCAAGGAGGAATAACATCTTGTAGGAGTGAGGAAGAGCCAGTTGTGAGTGTGGGGGAAGTTCGTGAGGCAGTAGGTAAAATGAAAGAGGGTAAGGCAGCCGGGATTGATGGGATAAAGATAGAAATGTTAAAAGCAGGTGGGGATATAGTTTTGGAGTGGTTGGTGCAATTATTTAATAAATGTATGGAAGAGGGTAAGGTACCTAGGGATTGGCAGAGAGCATGAATAGTTTCTTTGTATAAAGGCAAAGGGGACAAAAGAGAGTGCAAAAATTATAGGGGGATAAGTCTGTTGAGTATACCTGGTAAAGTGTATGGTAGAGTTATTATTGAAAGAATTAAGAGTAAGACGGAGAATAGGATAGCAGATGAAGAAGGAGGCTTTAGGAAAGGTAGGGGGTGTGTGGACCAGGTGTTTACAGTGAAACATATAAGTATTTATAAGTATTTATAAGTATTTAGATAAGGCTAAAGAGGTGTTTGTGGCATTTATGGATTTGGAAAAGGCGTATGACAGGGTGGATAGGGGGGCAATGTGGCAGATGTTACAGGTGTATGGTGTAGGAGGTAGGTTACTGAAAGCAGTGAAGAGTTTTTACAAGGATAGTGAGGCTCAAGTTAGAGTATGTAGGAAAGAGGGAAATTATTTCCCAGTAAAAGTAGGCCTTAGACAAGGATGTGTGATGTCACCGTGGTTGTTTAATATATTTATAGATGGGGTTGTAAGAGAAGTAAATGCGAGGGTCTTGGCAAGAGGCGTGGAGTTAAAAGATAAAGAATCACACATAAAGTGGAAGTTGTCACAGTTGCTCTCTGCTGATGACACTGTGCTCTTGGGAGATTCTGAAGAGAAGTTGCAGAGATTGGTGGATGAATTTGGTAGGGTGTGCAAAAGAAGAAAATTAAAAGTGAATACAGGAAAGAGTAAGGTTATGAGGATAACAAAAAGATTAGGTGATGAAAGATTGGATATTAGATTGGAGGGAGAGAGTATGGAGGAGGTGAATGTATTCAGATATTTGGGAAGGTCGTGTCAGCGGATGGGTCTATGAAAGATGAGGTGAATCATAGAATTGATGAGGGGAAAAGGGTGAGTGGTGCACTTAGGAGTCTGTGGAGACAAAGAACTTTGTCCTTGGAGGCAAAGAGGGAAATGTATGAGAGTATAGTTTTACCAACGCTCTTATATGGGTGTGAAGCATGGGTGATGGATGTTGCAGCAAGGAGAAGGCTGGAGGCAGTGGAGATGTCATGTCTGAGGGAAATGTGTGGTGTGAATATAATGCAGAGAATTCGTAGTTTGGAAGTTAGGAGGAGGTGCGGGATTACCAAAACTATTGTCCAGAGGGCTGAGGAAGGGTTGTTGAGGTGGTTTGGACATGTAGAGAAAATGGAGCGAAACAGAGTGACTTCAAGAGTGTATCAGTCTGTAGTGGAAGGAAGGCGGGGTAGGGGTCGGCCTAGGAAAGGTTGGAGGGGGGGGGTAAAGGAGGTTTTGTGTGCGAGGGGCTTGGACTTCCAGCAGGCATGCGTGAGCGTTTGATAGGAGTGAATGGAGACAAATGGTTTTTAATACTTGACGTGCTGTTGGAGTGTGAGCAAAGTAACATTTATGAAGGGGTTCAGGGAAACCGGCAGGCCGGACTTGAGTCCTGGAGATGGGAAGTACAGTGCCTGCACTCTGAAGGAGGGGTGTTAATGTTGCAGTTTAAAAACTGTAGTGTAAAGCACCCTTCTGGCAAGACAATGATGGAGTGAATGATGGTGAAAGTTTTTCTTTTTCGGGCCACCCTGCCTTGGTGAGAATCGGCCAGTGTGATAATAAAATAAAATAAACTTTGAAGCCAAGTTCCTGAATACAGTGTGCCTTTGTAATCATAATCTGTTGGTCAAGTCCCTGGAATATTGTTCTTCTTTTTTTCATTACTGGCAGGAAGAAGGTTTTGGGGTGCATAATAACGCTATCAAATTAAGAAAATCAGCTATTCACAGTAACATTTACTATACTATTGTTATTTTATGCTTCTCATTTTTCGCTCAAAGAAACTGAAACTCATGGTGAGGCAAAGATATAGGTGGGTCTAGTTAGGTAGTTTGTTGTAATACTAGTGGATGGAGGATTGAGCCATCTCTGCTTCTTAGGCTGAATGACTCTAGTAAGTCTGTTGGATGCATTGCTATAACTATAATATAGTGTGCACCCATTGAACCTATTCTATCTTAACCATCACTTTAAAATAGATGCCTTGATGCTGGTAATAGGTTCTTAATTCAAGGAATTGGAGCTCTCCTTTCTTTTTGGATTGAACTTTTTTATCTCCCATTTTCCATGCACTGTATGATTTCTATAGGCTTAATGCTTCCCCATAAATATAACAATAATTCAATTAATGTGTATTTCACACATTTAATAGGTTATTTACTTCAACTTTGGAAGTGTTTGGTGATAAAACAAAAAACATTAAAATGACCTTTTATTGCAAAATTTGTGGTATAGATACACTTTTTCTTGCTTATCTGAGATATCATTCCACAACCAGCTCAACTCATGATGGCTACAACTGCATGCAACCAACTCAAGATGCCACAAAACACTTGCATTCTCTCCTCAATACCTCAAGTATTATAAGAGAGCCTTGTGTCAGGTGCCTCACAGGCTTATCACACTGGCTACTCCACACTTACAAGTGATTTCTATCAAGCAAGGAAGAATTAAGATGAATATGTAAGTACATAATCCCATTAAGTACAAAACTGTTATTATTCAAATAGGAGAATTTATAAATTCTGCTCTAAAAATATAAACAATTTACACCTCAATATTTACAATAATACATAAGAAATGGAAGATAGACTTACTGATCAATAAAGTGGATTTTGACAAGTCACTTAGTGGAGAAATTTGATTATCCATCTCAAAAGTGCCACATTACTGATCACACTTAACACCTCCTTATTGGACATTTGTATAGACCTTTAATTTTGTACCACTAGATGGGACACATTTATGACAGTTCATTCTTTCAACTTTGCTCCTGACACGAGGCAATAAGTTCCTCCCACAATGCAATAACACATGACTTTAAAATCTGAACTTTTGCAATTTTTGTTCAAAGAATTACTTGAAATTGTATTTTTCATATCTCAGCTCAAATTTATTCATCATGCATTTTTGTATACAGTATATAAAAATTTACAGGTCCCTGACTTGAGAAGTTAAGAATGCACAGAAGACTCAAAAAGTTTGCAATATATGAATAATCACTTTCTGAGACCTCTGTATTTGGCCAACAAATTATATATCATACAATATTGTACATTTATATGCAGCAATTTGTAATGGGTGGTTAAGAGGTAATGGTTTTCTACTTAATATTTGTAATTCCAGGAGGAGAGCTGTGCTCATGATATCCTGTTTTCTATAATTAAGGTAATTTGTCTTCATTTTGTTTTTTATTTGAACCTTCAAGAACATAGATATCATATAGTTAGGCATATTAAATTATAAACTTTGAAAAGAAATGGAAGGAAACAAATTTCAAAATACAGTGTATATAATATTGAAAGAATGTGATGTCAAAATTATTTTTTTGGACGAATTCACTTGAAAAGTACCTTTAACTCTCTGCAAACCCACCCATCTACGTACGTTTTAAAATAAAACACTGTACAGTGAACATAAAAACTGAAAGACAACAGATTTCTTTAATACCATTGTCAAACCAGTTTGTTTTGTCCTTTATAAGCTTGAAGCTACCAAGAATTTCATGAAAATTAAGCAAGTGACAGCAATATTTACGCACTGAGAGTATTGCACGAGCTGTCAAGAATGATTTTGAAGCAAATTTGTGCAATCTGACAGACCAAGCACAGGCACTGGAATGGGTAATGGAAGAACTGATTTGTACTATATTCAAGGTGTTGTATCAAAAGTAAATTACAGTACATAGCATGGTAAATAATATACTGTTAACTTGAGATGTCAACACCAATACATTATAAATGAAAAAAATCAAGGAGTAAAACCTCAAAACTGAAAAATTACAGGACATAAAAACAATCTCTACAGTTATCAACAGGCCCATCATCTTAATATTTTCACACAGGTTCAGGTTTAGTGAAGATTTTGAAGACAGAGTTCAATGACTTTGAAACCCATTCCTTTGGATTACTAAGTAAACCATCTTTACATTCCTGCAGAGGCAAACTTTACAATGGCAGCTGCTTGGTCTGCCTTATAACAAGATGGCAGAGTAGATATACAAAACTTTTGGCACTTGTAACATCTATCATCTTGAATACAGTTTTCAGCAGTAGTGGTACACATTTTTAAAGTGACCAATGATAAACTTGGCAACTAAGAGCAGTCAGTACTACATACAAGGACTAATGATGATTACCCTCAGAGAGCATTCCACTAGTACCCTTTGTCAAGAATACTGCTTGGACAGTACTGATTATCTGAGGATGATAGAATAAATCATGTTTATACAAGATGTGAGATGACCTAATTGAAAAATGATGGCAAGAGTGAAGCATGAGAGCATGAAAAGTTTTCATCTTCAGGCATCAAGAATTAGTCCTGATGCAGGAAAATTTCCTTGACTACATTAACAGCTCACTGAAAATATGGACACTGATTAACCAGATGAATGTAATTGTTTCATGTTACATTATTAAATAACTGGAAAGTCAAGCTGCAATGTTGTAACAAATTCAGAGTTATAGGCCAATGGCATTTTGAATAAATACGCAACACTGATGTTACCATGAGAATCTAGTTGTCGTAGTAATGTAAAAATTGAATATGGCAATTTCAGTTATGGAATTGTGTACATTTTGATTAAAATATGTTAATAGGCCATTGAATAAAAAAGGCAATAGCTATGAAATCATAATAAAAAGTGAAAAGACTCTCAAATATGTGAATATTTAATGTCCAAAGTATTTATGTAAAAAAAAAGAAGATTCATGATTTTACCAGGTAATTAACAAAATGTACAGCCATAATGTTTAGCCAACACCTAGGAACTGTCCATTGGCAATCAGGTTTGCTCTTTAGTTATTTTTATAATAAAATAGAAAAGATGACTATTATACCCTAAAATCACTTTCTTGTCAAATAACAGTTTCCTTTGATAACTAAAATTGCAGCTGAATCTTGTGAAGTAAATAAAATCATGTCACTCACCACTTTGGAAGGTCATTGTTAATATCACTTATTTTTTTACCTTCTTGCAGTTCATAATCATTATATTGTTCACTTTAACTTATTTCTACTGCAGCATTTGCACAAATGTTCAAGACATAAAACTATATTTAAAATCACAGAAAAGGTAAGCTTCTTGGAGCTCTTGCAAATGGACTAGTTACAGCCAGTCCATTTCATTAATCATTGTTGAATCACTTCTACCCTAACACTGATTGTAAAGGGTATAGTGAACCACTACATCCAGGTGTCCATTATATGAAGTAAGACATTGGCATCCTTGCATATCACATATTAAGAATGGAATATTGATTGTATAATCTTTTAAATTATAGAACTTCACTGGATAAAAGTTTGCAATGGTCCATAAGCCATTGGAATAATAATAATGTTAAAGAACAACATTAGTTTTTGCAAGGATATTTCCAACTCTCTCTCAATACTGTGATCTTCTGACACTTGCACATATCCCTTACGGCATAAGTTGTATGTACCACATCTCATCATGGTCACGAGGCCACTTACACTGTCTTTGTAAGGAGGCAAGAGAGTCGAGGGTTATAGTCCTGGGAAAAGTCTTGTACAACTCATCACTCTGACTATTTCCAAAATTTTTCATTCAAGTCCCACAGTGAGTCAGAAAATAAATGTTTATGTTCAGACTGTTGTTTCACTACGAGGTGCCAAGGTATGAGGTGAGTGAGGTGATAGCTCATTATAATATTCATGTGGCATCTCTTGTGGAGAATGATGTTGTGGATGGCCATTACTACTAACACTGCTGTGTCCGCTACTACCACCATAGCTGTTGAAACGACCTGGTTCTAATACAGGCACTCCCACAGTCTGCTGAGGGTGGATGCGGCGCCCAGCGTACATCTGAGCACGTGCATTCATCATGTGGTATTCTGGATTGTCCATACCCACCCATTGCTGTCCAGCAATTCCGTTTGGTCCCTTAAATCCACGGCTCTGGTTGTGATCATTCCTTCGTCCATCTGCAACAGGATATGTAATTTAGTAAGTTGATTAGTTTCAATAGTTTTCAGTAACATTGACACAAGCACAATATTACTGTGTGCAGAAATCATTACACTTTGATAAAAACAACTAGAAAAGGATATTATTTGTAATTATTAATGATATGTCAGCCCAGTCAGGTTAACATTCCTATTGCTCACCTCGCCACCACATTGCACTTGCTCTGTCATCTAGCAGACCTGGTCCAACACGTTTCATTCATTCAGAAGACCTGGTACAGGTCAGAGGGTCCATTCTCCTGTCCACATATGGGCTGGCAAAGGCTTGCAGACTCACTGTATACCCTACCAGTCTACAATAAACCTACTAGTTTGCCACTGGCCAATTGCTCTACCATGATGCTACTGACTAAATAATATACACCGGTGGCAGTGGTACCCAGAACAGTTTGCATCCAGAGTCGTGTCAACAAACCTGCAAATGACTACACACTATTGCCATCCTTATCATCATCAGTTGCCTAGTTAGCAACTGTAGGGAACCTACCTCAGCTGCAACATGACAAAGAATGTCACAGGTGAGATGTGTGGGAACCAGTTTAGTGAGGCATGTGCCAGCAAGCAGCTTGCTGTATCGTGCACCCTAGGTCACACACAGGTTGTACACACGTACTATTCTACTTGCTACTTGCATGTTACCTGTAATTCTGTGTCCAATTGGCTAGATGTTCATTGACCATGTGTGTGTACACGAGATGGCATTCCTGAGTTCACAAGCTACTTGCAAAGCCAGATCTGTGATTTACAAAATGAAATGCCACCAGTGCCAACATTGTCATATACTGTATATCCCAGTACAGAACATACACACTTGTTCCAGTGTGTAGTATCACATATAGTGTGTGGAGAAGTGTTAGTAGTCTAACAGTGCAATATCTTAGTACTGTAGAACATGCACCTACAATCTTGTGAACAGTTTTTGCGCCCTTAAGGCACAGGACGGCTAGTTATTTCTGCCTCTTTTGTTTCCTACATTATTATAATCATAACCAAGCACTAAACCTGTAAGGGTCATACAGTGCTTCCTTGTTCCTACAAACAGTTATGATCTTCCACAAGATGCCAGTGAAGTATTATAGTGTCTACTCCTCAGTCATAGAATTTTTTCCTTGAATAGGTCAGTTACTGAAGTCAAGCCAGGCCTGCTAGTACATCAAGATTACTGCTAGTAACACACACTACTACAAACAAACCACAGCCTGGCTGGTTAGGAGCTGATCTGAGGAACATGTCCAGTTCTCTCTGCATGATTGCCAGAGGCTTGTTGATAATGCCCTTAATGTACAGAGGGTGGGTGTTGAAGTCAGGGACCTCCAACACTTGACAGTTCTTGTTGATCGTATTCTTCACATCTTTGCTTTTTATTGCAGGTACTTTGCACTGTCTACCAAGTCTCTTGCTTTTCACTTTTGTTTTGTATATATATATATCATTTCTGCCTCCCAACTATTTCAGTGTACTATGGCTATGAGTGTGTTATGTCTAGTCATTATTCATGGCTGGGCCAACAATGGCTTGGTAGTCGAGGGATGTAAACCCAGTCAGGCTAGCATTTCTGTTTCACACCTAGCCTTTGTATTGCATCTGCCCTGTCATCTAGCAGACCTGGTCCAGACTTGATCTAAATTCAGTGAAAGCTGTTTCTCTTTCATTGGATGGCTCTGGTACAGATCAGAGGAGATACTTATAAATGGGCATAGGCTTACAAGCTCAGTGTACCCTAATTGTATCCAGCAAACCTATTTACTAAAACATAGTGGCACTTATTATCTATTGTTTAGAAACAAATTGGAAAAGTATAATGTTGAAAACTGATTAGTGTAAAATTATTATTCATGTAGGGAACACTAAACCCATAGGGGTGTTACAACACATGGGAAAATGGGAGGCATTCAGGTTTGATTTAAGGAAGGGGAGAAAAAGTGCAATTCCTTGAATCAAGAGCCTCTCACCAGCATCAAGGCACCATCCTTGAGTGGAGCCAAATTAAGGATGTCCCAAAAGGGTTACCAGGAGGATTACATTGCAAAGTTTCATTATCAAACTTCATATTGTGAATATACTGTAGCTAATTTCTTGGTTTAAAGTCTTGAGGAAAAACTCAATTTCTTTCCTCAGTAAATTAATTATAATGAAATTAATTTCCGAACTCAAATTACAATTTTCTGATGTCAAATCCTCTCAAGAAAAGTACCATGATCCTGAAGAGGGGCTCCTGATCCAAGAAACTGGATATTTTCTCACCCTGGATCAAACCTGAATTCCTCCCATTCCCCAGACACTATATGACCCCTACAGGTTTAGTGTTTCCCCCTGGTAAAACTAAATCAAGAGGCTGCATAATTAATCAGTGCTATGCTTGCAGCCAACAGTAAAAGCCTGGTTGATCAGGCCCTGATCCACCATGAGGCCTGGTCACAGACTGGGCCACAGGGGGCACTGACCCCAAAAGCCTCTCCAGGTATACACCAGATATACTGGACCTTCCAGGAAAATTTATATTAAAATAAAATTATTGTTTTTTTTTTTTCAACAAGTCAGCCGTCTCCCACCAAGGCAGGGTGACCCAAAAAGAAAGAAAATCCCCAAAAAGAAAATACTTTCATCATCATTCAACACTTTCACCTCACTCACACATAATCACTGTTTTTGCAGAGGTGCCCAGAATACAATAGTTTAGAAATATATACATATAAAAATGCACAATATATCCCTCCAAACTGCCAATATCCCAAACCCCTCCTTTAGAGTGCAGGCACTGTACTTCCCATTTCCAGGACTCAAGTCCGGTTAATAAAATAACCGATTTCCCTGAATCCCTTCACTAAATATTACCCTGCTCACACTCCAACAGCTCGTCAGGTTCCAAATACCATTCGTCTCCATTCACTCCTATCTAACACGTTCACGCACACTTGCTGGAAGTCCAAACCCCTCGCCCACAACACCACCTTTACCCTCTCCCTCCAACCTTTTCGAGGACGACCCCTACCCTGCCTTCCTTCCCCTTCAAATTTATACGCTCTCCATGTCATTCTACTTTGATCCATTCTCTTTAAATGACCAAACCACCTCAACAAACCCTCTTCAGCCCTCTGACTAATACTTTTATTAACTCCACACCTTCTCCTAATTTCCACACTCCGAATTTTCTGCATAATATTTACACCACACATTGCCCTTAGACAGGACATCTCCACTGCCTCCAACCGCCTCCTCACTGTAGCATTTACAACCCAAGCTTCACACCCATATAAGAGTGTTGGTACTACTATACTTTCATACATTCCCTTCTTTGCCTCCATAGATAACATTTTTTGCCTCCCCATATACCTCAATGCACCACTCGCCTTTTTCCTTCATCAATTCTATGATTAACTTCATCCTTCATAAATCCATCCACTGATACGTCAACTCCCAAATATCTGAAAACATTCACTTCTTCCATACTCCTCCTCCCCAATTTGTTATCCAATTTTTCTTTATCTAAATCACTTGATACTCTCATCACCTTACTCTTTTCTATGTTCACTTTCAACTTTCTACCTTTACACACACTCCCAAATTCATCCACTAACCTTTGCAATTTTTCTCTAGAATCTCCCATAAGCACAGTATCATCAGCAAAAAGTAACTGTGTCACTTCCCATTTTGTATTTAATTCCCCATAATTTAATCCCACCCCTCTCCCGAACACCCTAGCATTTACTTCTTTTACAACCCCATCTAAAAATATATTAAACAACCATGGTGACATTACACATCCCTGTCTAAGACCTACTTTTACCGGGAAGTAGTCTCCCTCTCTTCTACACACTCTAACCTGAGCCTCACTATCCTCATAAAAACTCTTTACAGCATTTAGTAACTTACCACCTATTCCATATACTTGCAACATCTGCCACATTGCTTCCCTATCCACTCTATCATATGCCTTTTCTAAATCCATAAATGCAATAAAAACTTCCCTACCTTTATCTAAATACTGTTCACATATATGCTTCAATGTAAACACTTGATCTACACAACCCCTACCCACTCTAAAACCTCCTTGCTCATCTGCAATCCTACATTCTGTCTTACCTCTAATTCTTTCAATAATAACCCTACCGTACACTTTTCCTGGTATACTCAGAAAACTTATTCCTCTGTAATTTTTACAATCTCTTTTGTCCCCCTTCCCTTTATATAAAGGGACAATACACACTCCGCCAATCCTAGGTGCCTTCCCCTCTTTCAGACATTTATTAAACAAAAATACCAACCACTCCAACACTATGTCCCCCCATGCTTTTAACATTTCTGTCATAATCCCATCAATTCCATCTGCTTTACCCCCTTTCATTCTACGTAATGCCTCAGGCACCTCCCCCACACTCACATCCTGCTCTTCTTCACTCCTAAAAGATGGTATACCTCCCTGGTCAGTGCATGAAATTACCGCCCCCCTTTCTTCATCGACATTTAAAAGTTCCTCAAAATATTCTCGCCATCTACCCAAAACCTCCATCTCCCCATCTACTAACTCCCCTACTCTGTTTTTAACTGACATCCATTTGTTCCCTAGGCTTTCTTAACTTGTTTAACTCACTCCAAAATTTGTTCTTATTTTCATTAAAATTTCTTGATAGTACCTCTCCCACTCTATCATCCACTCTCCTTTTGCATTCTCTCACCACTCTCTTCACCTTTCTTTTACTCTCTATATACTCTGCTCTTCTTATAACACTTCTGCTTTGTAAATACCTCTCATAAGCTACCTTTTTCTCTTTTATCATACCCTTTACTTCATCATTCCACCAATCACTCCTTTTTCCTCCTGCACCCACCCTCCTATAACCACAAACTTCTGCCCCACATTCTAATATTGCATTTTTAAACTATTCCAACCCTCTTCAACCCCCCCACTACTCATACCTGCACCAGCCCACCTTTCTGCCAATAGTTGCTTATATTTC